AACCAAAAAAAAAAAAAAAAAAAAGATGTCAGCAGGATTATATTCCTTCTGGCAGCTCCACAGAAGAATCTGTTTCCTTAGCTTTTCTAGCTTCTAAAAAACCTCCTGCATCCTTGAGTCCTCACCCCTTCCTCCATCGGCAAAGTCAGCAACTATCATTCTGACATCTGTTTCATTCCTCAAATCTCCTTCTTTGATTCTGATCCTCCTGTGATTACACTGGGTCCACGGGATAACCCAGGATAATCTGTACATCTCAAGATCATTAGCTTAACCACACATATAAAGTCCCTGTTGCGGGACTTCCCTGGTGGCACAGTGGTTAAGACTTCGTGCTCCCAATTCACGGAGCCTGGGTTCGATCCCTGGTCAGAGAACTAGATCCCACATGCATTCTGCAAACAAGAGTTTGCATGGCACAACTAAGGAGCAGTGAGCCTCAACTAAGGAGCCTGCCTGCTGCAACTAAGACCCAGCACAACCAAATAAATAAATAAACATTAAAAAAAAATGTCCCTGTTGCCATGTGAAATAACACGTCCAAAGCTTCTAGGGATTAGAAAATGGACATCTTTGGGAGGTCATTAAGCTGCTTATCACATACATGTTGTCCCCACACCAGTCACCACTTTCCTACACCTAATTATCTGAAAATTAACTTTACAACAGGCCTCCCCATTTCAGTGGCTGGCATTTCCATCCTTCCAGCAGCTAAACCCAAAGCTTTGGGTCATCTCTCCCTTACTTCCTTCTCTCACAATCCACTTCAGAAAATAAAATCAGCCCTAGTAAAGTAACAGCATGAGAACACAACCTCTGTGCCACCTTCACAGCAATCACTCTGGTGCAGCCCATCAATGCTCATTTAGACTACTGCAGTAGTCTCCTCCCTGATTTCCCTGTGGTGTGACCATATATAAAAATAAAATTCTCACCTATAACCTCTGCAGCAACTGAACCTAAACGGTCAGAACGCTCATAAAAACTGCCTTCCTGGGACTTCCATGGTGGCACAGTGGTGCCAATGCAGGGGACACAGGTTCAAGCCCTGGTCCGG